TTATATCCTCCACAAGGGAACTTGGTCCACCCAAGAGCTGAGGAAAGACCAGCCCAACTCCTTACGTTTCCATGATGCCATCTGTGTCTGCCAAGGGACACTTGGCCCTCCGTCCCCCTGAGGAACATGGGAATGGCGTTCAGGGACCCAGTGGTCCCTGGTCATCTGGGAGAAGCAGGACCCAGGGCTTCCAGCTTCGTTATGGAGCCTGGTCCCATGTGCACATTCCAGGGGGCATCATCACAGTTCAGGTGACCCTCAGGTCCACAAGGGTGGCAATGGTATGATTTAAGGCCACTGGCCTGGTCCCAGCCAGTTTCCCTCCCCCTGCTCCCACCAAACTAGGCCGGAAGTGGACTGGGTTTAGGGCAGGGCCAGATGTAACTCAAAACCAAAGGGCGAGGCGGGGAGACCAAGGCAGAGACCCAGACACAGGGCCCAAAGGTAGCCTTCAGATTTAGGGATACAGAGCTTCCATGCCCCCTGTATCCGCCCCGAGATGCTATGGCAAAGGCAAAACAGCTGACCCCAGACCCCGCCGTCTGAGTGGGCTGGGTGGGATTGGAACTGGGGCCTGTGGTTGAGACCCGGCAGGAGGCTGAGAGGACTCTGCTCGGTGGAGATCTGGTGGAGGCTAGGCCTGCAGGGGGGCCTCTTCCCCTTGGGTGCTCACTGGCATGATTAATACAGTTTTTTTAGGAGCCTTGGATAAAGACACTACATGGGTGTCATAGGAGACCATGCAAAACATTTTAAAGATTTTGTTTTTATTTATGAGAGAGAGAGAGAAAGAGGGTGCGAGCGGGCAGGGGGAAGAGCAGAGGGAGAGGGACAAGCAGACTCCGCGCTGAGCTCAGAGCCTGACACGGGGCTTGATCTCAGAACCCTGAGATCATGATCTGAGCCGAAACCCAGAGTCTGGCGCTTAACCGACTGCGCCCCCCCAGGTGCCCCTTACCACGCAGTACATTTTAAAACATTTGCGATGTTGGGGCGCTTGACTGGCTCAGCCCGTAGCGCATGTGACTCTTAATCTCAGGAGCCTGAGTTCAAGCACCACATTGGGCATGGAGCCTGCTGTAGTAAAAAAAATTAAAAAAAAAAAAAAGAATAGGGCGCCTGGGTGGCTCAGATGGTTAAGCGTCT